AGCCCGGGCTGTCCTGCAGCCATCTAACACTGAAGCAGAAGATGGATACAGGAAGTGAGCACCTTGCTCATTAGAAGACAGCCTTGCTTCCAGGTTAATGCAATCAGATGGGAGAGCATAGATCAGAACCTCCTCTGCATGGTTTTAGACATAAAGCCAGGGCTCCACATACTCAAATAGAGAGGGAGGACATTTGTTTGTTTGCCTAACATGGATGGGTTCTCACCAGGCTCGTTTGGACTGGAGCCTAGCATACCCCAAGAACTATCTAGATGCTGATGAAGTTAAATAAATTGAAAACTGACAAAATAATACCTTTACTACATGCAAAGATTTGTCTAGCTCAGTCTTTATTCAGATCTACTCTGGTTCTCTCTCCCCCCCTTCCCTACAAGGGCTAATTAATAATACAGAGTACAATGGTGTGTTTTGATGGTTGCAAATATAGCAATTTAATTGGTATTTGTTTCTGCACAACACAATGATGCCTTATTTTCCCAGGAGAACCATTTTTTACAGCTATGCCAGGCCTTGCACAATGAAACAGACCCACCATGGGCACACCTGAAGCCCATTTGTTACAGAAGAAACCATGGCAGTCATGGGTTTGTGACAGACACAATGGCAAGCAGTATGTTTTAAACACTGACATTTATTTGGGGGTTTGGGGGGACTCATACATTCTTAGGATAAACTCTAATTTATATCAGTATGTAATAGGCAAATATATAATACAATAAATTGCATTTGTACACATAAATACAAAATTTGAGGTAGGGCCTCAAGAGTAATGACTTCTTAAATGAATAATGCACAATATATAATAAGCACTCTATACGATAGATAGATATATATGACGCATCATTTTGTAACATAATATATTTTCTTCATGTACAGTCGATGGAAAAATATAAGGACCTGACTAGGAAACATCTTTATTCATGAACAATAGTGCCCACATGAGATGCTTGCATTTAGGACATTATCCAAGCACACATTTTAAGAATAAACCTATTCCTCAATAGGTCCATAATAAAGTGCAAAAGAACACGGACAAATGAGAGACACAGCAGTTCCCAGTTTACCTGACTTCTAAACATCATCCCAATGGTCAAACCCACCTGTAAGGCAGCTGGGTACCTGGAGGTGTCATCCTCAGAAGCTAATCAAGCCTGAGCTTGCTTTTCAGAAGTAATGAACACCCATCTGAAATCCTTTCTCTTCAGGCAGTTTACGGCAACCTGTGCCAAGACCATATTTCACAGAGGTCCTTCTAGGCTAAACGAGAGAAAGACAAGGAGTCCTGCTCCAAAACTCCAGGCTATCTTTGCATAACACACATGGTGAGACAGAGAAAGCTGGCTTGCTGGCCTTTGTCTCCATGCCTTGCATGTCAGCCTACTCTGCAGAACACCCTCACCCATGTCAATTCCCTGGAGAAGCAAGTCACAGACCCAAATCCCAACACCACTGACAGGATGACCTTGCTGTCACACATCCAGCAACAGTTGCTGTGCTAGCCTCTGGGAAGAGGACAATGACCCATGGCCAAGGATATGAAGAGTTAAGAGATGTGTTGGTTTAAGGCATGGGAAGCCCATGCTGACAGAAAGGAACTGAGAAGCGTTGAGGCACATGTGGACAACAGAAGAGAAGCAAAACCCTGACCCCCTCAGTGCTGTGCCAGTGGAGAGGCAATCTGAGTCTCATCCAACCAAAGTTCCATGTGTTCAACTCTTTCTAAAGTGCTGTTCCCTGAAGTACACATCAATTCCAGCCCTCACACATTAAAATCACGTCAGAAATTCCAAAGACGTCAAGGTTGTTAGGATTTTGCGTTGACCACAGATATCATGCAATAAAGAAATAGACAAGGACAGATAAAACAACTATCACAAAAGACCAGAACTGAACACACTTGTTCACAACAAACATAGCCTGAAGGAGATTAGAAGTTTCTAGTGAGCAAGACAATTAGACAAAGGTTTGCATAAGAAACCACAACACCAATAGTTAATAAATACATGATGCTTTCTGTTTTAAGGATATTACAGGGTTACTATTTTTCACATATGGCTTGTTTTTCTCTGAAAGGGTATATTGGTTTGTGATATGAAATCATCTCACAGATGGAAAACTCCCCACCACTCCACACAGGAAACTAAAATCTTTCCTAAGTAACATTGCTTCTCCTTCAGTGTCAAAGGAGAAATCTCAGGTGGCAGTTATGACAGCGCTTTCATTTCCTATTGATTCATTCATTTTTTTTCTTCAAATTGATTGTGCATTTTAGTAGCATGGAAACAATCCATCTAGTGGTATACATATCAGTTCTCAGCATCCCAACCAAACCCTCAGGAGGCGAACCACTGAGATACACAGTGAATGGAGGCAATTCAGACACCACTTCTGCCCGTCAAGGAGAGCCTTGAACTTGAACATGGCAATGAATGTGGACAAAACTAAACTTCAAAGGCAGCTGTTTCCAGGTAAGCCTGGACCCTTTTGTCTGCCTTTGTCCTACTAAACAGTCTAACCAGGGAAGGAAAAACAAAGCAACAACAACAAAATGGACAAGTTCTCAGGGGCAGACTCTAGGTCTTTCCTAAACATCCTCTTAGACACAGCTGCAGCTGCTCCAGTTACAAACCCACTAGCAGATGTGGTCTCCATCCTTACAAGTAAGCCAACTCTCATTTCACATCTGGCAGAGTCCATGGCCTCTCCACACCCTGCCTTTAATTACCGAGAAAAAAAATAGCAGCAGTTGGGCTGGCATCCAGCACCAGTCTCAGTTCCAGCCCAGAGAAAAGAGGAGGCCAGAAGTCATTCATACCAACACAAATGTGTGCTGAGATGGGCTTTGTGCTTTTCTTCAACCTGCAAACTGGCAGGGCTCTGGGGAGTGTCCGGACTGACCTCACCATTCACACACACCCCCAAAGCCTTGGTACCACCTCTCATGCTGATGCAAGAATGAGGCCTCTCTTCTGTGTGGCTTTCTTGGAGAAACAGACGATGACAGCAGAGAGGGGACATCTGAGCCCACAGCTCATCTTCCTAAAAGAGGGGAAGCCTGAGGCTCCATCTCTGTGATAGCCTAGCAAGACCTACCTTTGGGCAACTAGAAGGAAAGAGAATGTGGAAGAGAGAAAGCACATCCTGCTAGCAAAGACATGAAAGCCAGGGGTTCAAAACCCACCTTGTTCCCTTCCCTAACACCTGTCATGCCTGCTCTGGGAAACACAAGTTCCCATCATTGTTGGCAGGTGATGCGAGCACTTACACAGGAAAGGGAGAGTTCAATACGATGACTTCAGACACTTTACACAAACAGAATCACCTTTTTAAAAAGATACATTAAAGTCTGCTATTGGGGCATCATCGCCATTGTGCAGGATGAAAATGTCACATCAATATACAAGATATGAACTGAAAACTTCACCTGAGACCCTGTTATATGAAGACAGGCTAATACAAAAATGATTGAACCCCGTCTCTGCTAAAGGAAGCAATTTTAGGTTGAGATATTAAGACTGTAAGGGGAAAAAAATTGAAAAGCCCCAACTATGCTACTCTAAACTTGCCATCTCTGTGGTAATTCATAATATATTTATAAGGTCAGAAAACACCACTACACACAGCGTGTACACACTGCGTGAGCACACAGCGCCATTAAAGATTTGTGTATATGCCTGTTCAGGAGACAGCAGAATATAGGGTGTGCCCTGGCCAGGCTCTGCAGATGGTGCTCTGAGCAGTGGCATTGAGCACAGTGGATAGGGAGTTCTGGAAACTGAACTGGCTAAGCGCAGTCTTAAAAGCTATAGTGTTGACTGGCTTACTCCTAACTAAGCTGTATTTAGCAGAAGGTTCTGGAAATACAGTGACCTAAGATGCACAGCCACAGGGATGAGTAGTAACAGGGTTGCTTTCTACCAACCTCTTCATTTCTCTGGTTTCCCTATGGCCACAGTTGGCATTTACTGTTACTGAGAAAGGAGCAAAAATTGAGGAAGTATCTTTCAAGAGTTTGTGTCCCACGTATATATAATATATAGACAGAACTGGGGTAAGTCTTGTTTCCAATAGGTTGAAAGACAACATATCTACAGCTTATAGAAAGTGATTTGGAGGCAAAGAGACAGGAGGCATGTCATGATCCTGAACCGTGATGCTAAAGACATCATGGCAAATGGAACAGTGATACAAAAGTTGACATGCAAAAGTCAAAGCATGGCTTTTTGTGCAGAGGGTAAAAGAAAACACCCAAAGAATTACCTCTCAAATGTCATTATTACAGAAGGAGGAGGAATAAAAAGAAAGAAGGAAGGAACAAAGGGAGGGAGAAAGACTGGGGTAAAAGAGAATGGAGTTCCTTCATTCAGATCCACAGCATAGAGAGATGAAGCATCTAAATGCATGGTATATTTGGTCAAAATAAAGAAAATGGGTATGCAAACCAAACCACCCAGCGGTGCCCAAATCTACCTACCAGCCCTGTCTGCCTCCAGAACAGTCTCCAGCTCTGCCATTCCCCTAAATGCACCTGACCTGAACTTTCAGCTTCTGAATGAGATCACTGCATTGCCCAGCTCAGCAATGAATACAAATCAACAGTCCTCAAAGTCTGCATTCTCCTCACGCCCTACCGCTCCCCGCAATCAGATCACACAATGAAATTTCTCGACTGCTAAAGCATGTACCTGCCAGCACGCTTCTGTCCAACCCACCCCTGCAGGATCAATGAAGCAGCCTGATGGGGGACCAAGCCTTCCAGAGACTGATAGCACAGACACAGGCAGACAGCACCTCTAGTGGTCTGTGTGACTTTCCCTACAGCATGCTACACTATGTCCTACTTTTTCTATGGAACACTCTCATGCACTTGTGAACCGAGGTGTGGGGAGAAAGAAGAACACTGGGAATAAATCTGGGGAAAGTGTGAAGGCGGCAGACAGGAAGACCAGGAGCAATACAGAACCATCCACACTGCTGGACTAGCACTGGGTGCCCAGTTCCAAATCCTTCACTGGCAGCTTGAGTCCCAGGGATGAGGTCCCCAGGGGGTCGATCATATTCTTGTAGCGCTCCCCACGGTGCTGAGCTAAGAACGGGCCCCAGTCTGGCTGTGGTGAGCATACCAACTTCAGCCTCTGCAAAGAAGTCAAAGACAGGTGCAGTTACAATGAGAATGTACCTTTCTCCCCATGTCAACCCCAGTCGTCTCCAAAAGGCAAGATACCACTGCTCCAGATTCCTCACTGGACCCTGGAGCCCCACCACCACCACCAATGAGGGAGAAAGTCAGGAAGACTAGCCCTCATTTATTAACCAGGCCAAGGACAGAAAAGCAAGTGTCAGTTTGGTTTGCTTGAAATTACTTACATCACCCTGAAAGCAACTTCATGATTGTCCCATGTTTGCCTTGCACAAGATTAGTAGAGGACAAAGGGCCAAGATTTTAATTATACATCTCCCCACACCACCATGGAGAGACCTCACAAGCTTCTACCTCTGCTCCAGAGGAGCAAAAGCCATGGGCTCAATGACATTTGTTGTGTAGTCTCAATGATGGGTTGCTACATCAAAATAATTGGATTTTGTATAGCGTGTTTCTTAAAAGTATACAAGTGGCCAAAAAAAAAAAAAAAAAAAGCCAACCGCAAAGATATAGTACCAAGCATAAACAAAGATTTTAATTATCTGTTTACAAAAATAAATGTTTCTGACTCAGGTCAGCAACGCCATTTCTTACAAGTTAGCTTAAAAATAATGGAGGTGTCTCTAGTCCTTCTAGAAAATAAGATCTGATAGAAACACGTTAAAAAAACAGAAAGAAAACTTATTTCTGACTATATAAGAGGGAACAATTACCTGTTTATTACCTATTAAAGGGAAATCTGGTTCTGATGGCTGTTGGTTTAATGGCCCCTTAATCACCAGCTTGCAACCTTTGTGTCCCCAAGTAGCCATACTAAACCGAGACTCTCAGGCTACAACAGCAGTGGCAGAACTTACAACAGGCTCTGTTTGGGAAAAAAGATTTCTGGGTCCTGTTCTGGGAAGGTGGCCATGAGGGGTAGCACCCTGAGGGTGGTTGGGGCCAGAGTTAATTTACACCACAAGATAATGAACAAAAATTTCTGGGGATGCAAACCAGAGTACAACTTCAGCACGAAGACTTATCTACATCTGGAGGTCAGTGAAAACAAACAAACAAACAAACAAACAAACAAAAACACCGGCTACTTGCTGACCCACAACCAAGTGGCCACGCCCTCACCCCCACAGCACTTCTCCCCTCCAGCCTCTTCCTCTTGGCAGACCTCACACAACCTTTCTCCACCCCAGGGAACAGGTATTTCTTTGCCTTGCTCTAGGTGCCTCCCAAACTCGAGAATGCATCTGAACCACTGGAAGATGAGCAGGACAATTTCTGTCTCCCTAAGCTCCATGCCGTTGTGAGAACCTGACTGTCTGCATTTATGACAGACTCCAGGGAGCCTCTACATCAGACCCAGGCAGCGTTGATAAGGTCGAAATACCTTCAGGAGGCAGGCAGAGTTCATTAATTCTCAGACCACCTGAGAAAAAATTTTTTTTCATTTGTGATGGAGTTTCCTATAGCCCAGGCTAGCCTAAAGTTCACTATGGCGCTAAGGACGGCTTTAAATTCCTGATCCCCCCACTTCTACTTCCCAAATGCTCCAATTACAGGTGTGCTTGAACAGTGACTTTCCATAAGTAACCAAAGCTGGTTCTTCAGTGCTGGCTGAAACAAATAGCAGTCCCATTCACTCTGAGAAAGGTAGAGGTTATTTTTGTGACAAGAGTGAAATGGGTTCACATAGGAATTGATTAATGTGTTAGCTATCTCGGCCAGCTACAGTCATCTAGAAAGAGGCAATGTCAACTGAGGAACTTCCATCAGACTGGCCTGTAGGCAAGTCTGTGGGGCACTGTTTTGATTAATGATGGATGTGGGAGGGCCCAGCCCCCAGCCCTCTGGCTGTGCCACTCCTGGGCAGATGGTCTTGAGTTATATAAGAAAACAAACTGAGCAAGCCACAAAGAACAAGCTGGTAAGCAGCACTCTTCCATGGCCTCTGCTTTAGCTTCTGTCTCTAAATTCCTCCCTTGAGTTCTTACCTTGACTTCCCTTGGTGATGGATTATGACCTGGGAATATTGAAACGAAATAACTCCAAGCTGCCTTTGGTCATGGTTTTATTGCAGCAATAGAAAACTATTAGAGTTGGTAAGGACATGCAAGCCTGCCCTCATTTTAACTATGTCCTGGAATGCATATGACACTCTGAGAGTCACATATGACACTCTGAGAGTCATAAAATTTTAATTAACATGGCTCACCAGGCATACTAAACCCAGGAACAATAGGCAGTCGTGGTGACTTTAAGTTTAATGGCAACAAACATTTCAGAAGGAGGAGGCTTGGATGGAAAAGGAACACCAGAAAAAAAGCAAATCCTATGTGTGGTTAAAAGACAAACTTAAGATGTAAATAGCAACTGAGGAGGAGGGGACATGGAAGCTCTAGGAAAGAGGAGACATTTCAGATCATCCATCCCAGGGCTGCCTGCACAGTGAGGAATAGCACAATAATATCTCAGCCTGACGATTGGCTGGGCTCCTGCATTACAGGAATAATACATAATAAAAATGGGTTTAATAGAATCAGCGCCGACCGGAGTCATTTACTCACCCAGTACCCTTCTTGAATACGTTTACCGAATGTTTTGTTTCTAATGCATAGAGCTTTTAAAAACTCTCCCTTGGGAGAAGCTAGCAGGAGGAAAAAAGGGGCCAGAAGAATTACCTCAATAAATCTGCCAGGAGCCAGATACATTTTTATCACAAACATAATCGGGATCCAGATAACAGAGCAAGCGAGCATCAGCCATCCGAGCACCATGGACCAGTTAGGGTAGCGGTAAGAGCCATAGGTCATGGGCTCCCACTGGTAGAAGCTGAAGCAAAGAATAAACTGGGAGAGAAGAGAAAGGTACATTAGGGTGATGGTGTGAGTCATTCATTCATTCAACACGAACATGCTGAACCCCACCACATGCTCACACTTTCATTCCGACTACCTCATCTTGTGTATACCCTTGTCCATCTGAAAAGGGATTTTCCAAGTCAAGAAAGTAAATGCCCAAGACGATGAAGGTGGCAAACCTGCACTCAGCTATTGCTCCTGTGTTTGTCCTCTCATAGGAAGTCAGTGGGGTGTGGGCATGTACAAGGAACCCCCACCCTCACCCCAAGAGAACACAGCACGGTAACTGACTGGGGCAGGTGGCAGCTGGGAATTCTGAAGAGACTGTGTGCACTATCATTGATAAGAAAGCTCTTGTTATAATGGGGGGAGGTGTGTTTAATTTATATTTTCAGTCTCTTTCACTGAATCCACTTGGCTTCCTCCTTGAGCAAGGAACAGCCAACATGTTGAAGCTACCTCTGAAGTTGGCTGTGTGAGACCCTAAGCTGTACCCAGAGGTGACTGATCTAGAGGTACAGTCCTATGATAAGCCATTTTAGAAAGATGTGGGGGTGCAGCCCCCTCCACTGGCTGAAGGTGAACAGCATCGACCCAGTGAGTCCGGAGACCTGGCTCTACTGCTCATGAGCTGCGGGACCCCTCAGACCTCTCAGCTACAAAATGGCCTTATGTCACACCATGTATATAGTGCTGGGGTTTTCTGGGAACAGATGTCTGGCATTTACTTCAGACTCCTTCCTCATTTTTAAAAGGTCACAATTTGGGGTTTTCCCATCATCTACTATCACTGTTGACTGGCAACAGCTCTGAGATCCATCCAAAGGCTTGGCTTGAAAGGCATGTGCTAAAGACACAGGCCCCTGTATAGGGAGCCAGGCTTCTGACTCTCCAGCTCAGCCTGTAGGGACCATTTCCTGAGAACATGTGTATTTTTTCCTGCCTGTGGCAGCATAAGCTTAGAATTATCCACATAAGTCCTTTCCCCATCTCTACGTTTCTCTTCCTACCTTAAGCTGTAGAATAACAATATGACTAGAGGAAATTACATTAAAGAAAAGAGCAGGAAGGAGTGTTTTTGAAGGAAAAAACCCTACACAAACACGAGACATCCACAGCACTGCTGCAGCACCCAGGCTGCCAGGGCCAGGGTCTCTTTCGACGCAACAAGAGCTCATATGTTGATTCAAAGCAATGTGAGCCTGAAGATAAGGCTCCCATGGAGAGTGAGGTCTATGTTAGCCCCTTTGGCAACTTTTGCTCCTGGAATCATAGGATTTATTAGCCAGTCTACTGGAAGTATGGCCCAGTGTCATTACAGCATGCTGCTCTGTTTCATTTACTCTATAAATAGCAATCCATCTGCCTAAGCGTGTGCTTTCCTCAGTAACTTGATCAGACTATGCATACGATAATTGCATGAGGATATTTATGGCTCCATAAATCCATGATGGCACATAGTAAAATGATGGGTTTTATTTCAGAGGACCTAAAGTAATTTAAACCCATAATCTTACCCTAGACCAGGACCTCAAAGATAGCTATGGTACGAAGGTAAATGGCAAAATATAGGGAGGGCTGAGACCTTTGACACCCATTTTCACTCCTGCAAATATCATATCAAACCTTTAGGCACAAGCTGATTGCTTGCCATGAATTTCCCCCTGCCAAGTCAGCTTTGATGAACACCTGCTCTAGAGAGGGCTCTGCCACAAGAGATGGTAATTGAGCCACCGAGTCATGCCCACCCTGCGTTTGACTGACAGATACCAAATCAGACACAGAGACCCACTGGTTGGTGTTAATGGTGGAACTGATGGCATTCCTAGCTCCAAACACAGACACAGAGAATCTGCTCAAGACCATCCTAGGGCATCTCCATGGCCTCTGACATGAAATCTAGTGAACCACAGCAAACTGAGGAACTTCTCCAAGAATGAAAATTAAAAAAAAAAAAAGAGTACATCTAAACAAACTAAGCAAAAGAGAGGACCCTAACTAAAATGTTCAATCCCCATCCTGAAAGGCAAAGAGGATGGACATCAGAAGAAAAAGAAAATAGGAAACAACCTTGGAACCTGCTACAGAGGGCCTCTGAAAGCCAGAAGAAAACAGGAAACAACCTTGAAACCTGCCACAGAGGGCCTCTGAAAGCTTCTGCAGTATAGACTGTCAAAGCAGATGCTGAGCCTGATGGCCAACTGATGGGCAGAGTGAATGGAATTCTATGTAAGAAGTGGGAAATAGTAAGAGCTGGAAGGGACAGGAACTCCACAAGGAGAGCAACAGAACAAGATAATTTGAACACAGGGAACTTCCCAGAGACTCATACTCCAACCAAGGACTATTCGTGGAGATGACCTGGAACTCCTGCACAGGTGTAGCCCATGGCAGTTCAGTGTCCAAGTGGGTTACATAGTAATGAGAAGAGGGACTGCCTCTGACATAATCTGATTGGCCTGCTCCTTGATCACTTCCCCCTGAGGGGGGAGCAGCCTTATCAGGCCACAGTAGAGGACAATGCAGCCACTTTTGATGAGAACTGATAGACTAAGATCAGAAAGAAGAGGAGAACCTCCCCTATCAGTGGACTTGGGGAGGGGCATGCATGCAGAAAGGGGAGGGAGGGTGGGATCGGGAGGGGAGGAGGGAGGGGCTTATGGGGGGATACAAAATGAATAAAGTGTAATTAATAAAAAATTAAATAAAAAGAAAGAAAAAAAAGAAAAGTTCTTGTAATTCCTTCTCCCTGAGTCTGAAGACAGGACTATTTTAACCCAAACTGGCCATGCTGTACCCAGAGATGAGAACCTAGACTGTCAGAATGCAAAGGATGTGCTCGAAGGCCACCCCCACCTCAGAGGCAAAGTTTTGGCTCTGTGGCCTTGTGACCTAGAGAAGTTTCTTACCCTTTATGAGCCTCAAAGCACACACAACTGGAAGGTGGGGAGGCAGCACGGGTGTGAACTTCAATGACAAGGCTGGTGAAGGGTCTACCTCGAAACACACCTCCACACACACAGCAGTAGCAGCAGCAGGAAGAAGATGCCAGTGCCGTGTGTTACCTCAGAACATGGTAAAATTCTGACCCTCTTCAGGGGTGAAAGGGAACGGGGGGGGGGGGCAGAATTTAAAACTAATTCTAACATCAACTCAGCTGATAATTAGCCTCGAGGAGTGGAAATAGGGGATGGTCACAAGTCATTAGAGTCAGGATTTGCTAACACATCATCTTCAGGCAACAGGTGGCGGCAGCATCTTCACACCCACAAGCTAAGCCCTGCTCCACACACACTTCATCTCTGAACATCTGTCTTTAATACTTTTCCGTTCTCATGCTCCAACTCCAGTGGGACTTTTCAGACCACGGACCCTTATAGATGTGAGTAAGCTGTCAGTGTCCACGCAGAAGACTACAAAATGGATTTTCTGTCTAAACCTCTAGCTTTTTAGAAAGATATGGTTTGACAGGGGAAAAAAAAAAAAGGCAAGCAAATGAAGAAAACATGTATTTTCATTGCACCTACTTTTATCCATTCTGCAACTTAAGCGAAGCTGTCTCTTTATCTGGTTTCTAGGGCCACCTACTGGGCTAAATAGAAACTACAGACAACTTCCTCTAGGCTTGCTTAAAAAGACTCCCCTCCGGCCAGAGAGAGAAAAAGGTAAGCCTGAGGAGGGTAAAGACCAAATCTCTGCTAATTAATTGACTTGGGGAATAAAGCAAGGCCACACTGACAGTTTCTGTCACAATGACGAGGGTAACAGGTGTGAGTTGAAGTCCCTGTACAGACCATGGGCACATGAACCGCTCAGTTCGCTAGGAAGGGCAATGTCAGTTAATCTCAAAACAGGCATCCTCATACTTGAGGTTGACAAACGACTCTCCAAAGCAATAGAATCAACAATAAAAGCCTTATTAAAGCTACATTAATTGTAGATACATTGCGTAATGGTTAGGAGACAGAACATGTGGGTTTGAGCCCAGGTTGTTGCTAACTATTAAACGTTCAATGCTAGGTTAGTCACAGCTCTAAGCTTCTGTTTCCTGTGATAATCAGCTTTAATTGTCAATCTGACACGTCCTAGGATTACCTGGAAAAGAGGCTCAGTGAAGGATTGCCTAGATCAGGCTGGCCCGTGGGCATGCCTGTGGGGTGTTGTGGTGCTTGTGTGAATGGATGTGAGGCGATGCAGTCCACTGTGGAAACTTCATTCCCTAGGCAGAGGGATCTGTGCTATAGAGGTCTGGGCTGGAGAGACAGCTCACAGGGTTAAGAGCACTTGCTGCTCTTGTACAGGATTGGAGCTTGGTTCCCAGCTCACAGCCACCTTAACTGCAGCTCCAGGGTATCCAATGCCATCTTCTGGACTCTACAGGCACCCACATGCACCTGCACATACACGCACACGGACATACGTACACACGTGTAAGGAAATAGCAGACTCAATCCTTTTCTGAAGAGTGAAACGCTGGCCTGGCACTGACTACACGCTGCGTTCATCTCTCTCTGCTCCTCACTGTAGTGGTAGCTACCTCCTCTGAGCTCCTGCCACTGTGACTTCCCAGATAGCATGAACTACAACCTGGAACTATAAGCAGAAATAAATCCTTTTGTCCTTTGAGTTGTTTTGGTCAGTATATCTTACCATGGCAACTGAAAAAGAAATTAGGACCTTCCCCTTCTGCAATACAGAGGCAATTACGGCAGCCTGGCAGGGCTACTGAGAGAGGAGGCTCTATATGTAAATCACCTAGAACAGAAACTGAGCCACAGCAGGTGTGTGGTCTACATGGCCGCTGACTGCTGTCTGCTAGCACACAAGGCAGATAGATATAAAGGGCATGTTCTCCACAGAATCAATTCCAGCTCAGCCTCTGACCAGGTAGGTGCCTGGAGGGAAGTCGCTTGACCTTTCTGAACTTCCATTTACTCAGGTGGAAGGCAAAGCCAATACCCATCCCACCAGCTCCCCAGGGAGGTGCACATAAGTTCAAAGGTAAAACACTGGCGTGCATTCTAGGCAGTGTCTGTGAGAGAAAGCATTCAGCCCTTACGGTTAAAATAGTTGGTGTGACAAACGCCCAGCAGACTTTCCAGAAAATGTTGGGCTGGAATCCAATCATCATCTCAATGTCTTCACAGAACCTCTGCAAGCCTGCAAAGAGACAGCAAAACCATGTGCGAGGTGCAGAGGGCAGGGGCAGGAAGGGGAAGTCACCAGGCAGGGCCCCTTGCTTAAGAACCTTGGCTAAGGAAGAACCCAGCTGAGGTCAAAGTAACCCTCATTGCACAGGAAACCATCAGGCAGATGACTCCCTGCTAGGAACACTGGGCTAACTGAACGCTGAAATAGATACTAAACCCTCTCTGCTGTGAGGTTCAAAGCTGCCATGGCAACGTCCCAGACTTTAGTCCAGGTGTTGGCAGCGGCATGTGCATGCATATGGCTTGGTACCCTGCTGACAAGTCTGGCAGGGAAAAGGATTTTGGTAAACCAAGAAACCATACTACAGATGGCGCAGCACTTAGCAAGAGTCTCTGTGAGCTGGATTTGTGTCTTTCACCCTAAGAGCACTTCCATTGCATCCACTTAGCTCTGCCTGGTGTGTGTGTTGATGCATACAGGTGAAACCAATGTAAACTCCAAGTGCCCATCACACACTCAGCTGGAACTGAATGGCCGTGTCTTCCTGGCCTCTCAGAAACTTCACTAAAGTAAAATGTAAGGAGGCGGCCCTTCACCCAGCCCGGCACAGCCGTCCTCCCAGCAACCTTAGTTTAGGAGGAGCTTGGAACACTGCTTTGGAGGAAAGGCACTGACATCAGAAGTGGAACCCCCTCAGAACTTTGGGTTCAAACAACAGCTTCCTGAGTGCAGGTTTCTGTATTGGCATGGTTCCTGACCTTCCTAGTGCCGCCACCACTGTATAATACAGCTCCTCGTGTTGCGGTGATTCCCAACCATAACATTTTTTGTTGCTACTCCATAACTGTAATTTTTGCTAATGCTATGAATTGTAATGTAAATATCTGTGTTTTCTGAAGGTCTTAGGTGGCTCCTGTGAAAGGGTTGTTTGACCCCTCAAGGTCTCGAAACCCACAGGTTGATAACCACTGCTGTATTGGGAATGTCTAAAAACTTATCCAGGTATATTCAAGATGCGTTCCTCACAGAGAGGGGGAGCCCCGATATGCTGGTCACAGAACCACAAATTAGTATGGCCATAAAAAAATTAAATAGCAGTTAATGGAGGCCCAGGAAAATTAGCATAGCCCAAAGACTGAAGTGTTTCCGGTTTTCTTATACCTTCTCAACCAGATTTGCTTAGGGTTTGGGGGGGAAGACAATTAACTTCTAAAATTAGACATGTTAAAAAGTGTCTGGTTAATTGTTTTCAAGCCTGGACAAACAGGCCTGTTCTACAAGAAAGCACATTTGCAAATGTGCCTTTTGTGGCAATTAGCACCCAGGAAACAGGTAAAAGGAATATCCTTCGCCCCGTAGGCCTGGTTGCAGATGGGCTGCAAAGAAAGCCCCTCCTCTTTCCAGGAACTAAATTCTCCCTGCAGTGAGAAGATGATCTCTAGTCTTATAAAAATTTCTCTTCAACTTCCATCTGAAAGTAATTGTGGGCCTGGAGTGCTGGCTCTGTGCTTAAGAGCACAGACAGCTTTTATAGAGAAGCAGCGATGGACTCCCAGCACCCGCACCAGGTGGCTCATCTGTAACTCCAGGTCCAGGGGACCCAGTGTCCTCTTCTGACCGCTATGGGCACTGTGCTGGTGCTCACACCAGTCTCAGACCCACATATACACTATACTACACATGATTTGTTTGTTTGTTTGGTTTTTCAAAGTACAGTCTCTATGGGTAGTCCTCCCGCTGTCCTGGAACTCACTTTGTAGACTAGGCTGGCCACCTGCCTCAGCCTCTCAAGTGCTGGAATTAAAGGTGTGTGCCACCATGCCTGGCAATTCTTTTTAATTAACGATTGTAGCCTCTTCCTGTTTTTTAGGGCACCCACGTTTTACATGAAAGAGTTCCATTTTCTACTCTGATTTTCTGCTCTATTTTTTTCTCTTTTATTTTAATGAGATTTCCAGGAAAGCCAGTAACTGCTGCATATCTCTCAGTACTCTAACAATCACTTGAGACTGAGACACTTGTCCACAGGACACACAGCAGTTGGGAGTGTGTTGTCCTCGATTTGAAGGACAGAACTCTGCAGACACTTCTGGTCTCCTCGAATGATGGTCTGGGAGCGCCTGTATCTTCAATTTCAAGCAATTCATGTCACTTACTTTTCTCTTAGAACAAGTTACTATCTCTTTGGGGGATTGCAATACAATTAGATCATTGAACCTTGAAAGTTTTATCCCCATGCTACAAGGCCTCTTAATCCAGTGAGCATTCGAAGATGTCTAGGACTCACAGTTACCTGAGCCAAACTGGGCAGACTGACCAGGAGGCCCCGTGGTGTGACCTCCAAGACAAACACTTATACACAAAGGGCAGAGATGACATCTGGTGGCTGCCATCCTGTATCCTTGATGATAGCTCCAGTAGATGGGATGCATGTTGCTATGGTGATGGCAGAACAAGCAAACCATTAAGGAACTGAGAATTTGCAGGGAAAACCTGGGACTTAGACACACTGTGGCAAGTTCCGAATGGGCTTATCGTGGTTGGAAGGCTCTGCGATCCAGTGGCCTTTGGTACCCTGGGACTAGCAGGAGCCACCTTCAAGCACATGGCCACTGACATCACCAACGCTAAGGATAACATTACATCAACAAAGGAGTCCTCCTTCTTTATCTGGTCACTGGACACAGGCATTGACCATACCCAAGGTCAAGTCCTGCAATTTTCTTGCACACGCTGCTAAGATTCGCCACCAGTCACCTTTGATTTCTCCTTCAATTTCACCGCAGTGATCCTGAGGCAAGCTCAGAAAGAGAGGCATTGAAATCCTTTAAGTATGGTGAACATACTTTCCAGGAAGGCCTGCCATACACTCTGGTTCTTTTTTGGCAATAGGCAGAGCGTTTCCTTACCATACACATAGGAGATGCCAACAAGCTCAAATATGGCAATGATGACAAGGGCATAGGAGGCAGCATAAGTGTCCACAAGCTGAAACATGTAGATTCCACCCTAGCAGGAGAGAAAAAAGCCACCATCAAATAGGACCCCTTGGCCAGGCTCCTCTTCTCCCTCCAGAGGAGCAGCAGTTTCAGAATCCTCCCTGCCCCATAGCAGGAATGTACACCTGGACTAGTCATGTAAAATAGACTTGGCAGGACATCCCTCAATGGCCTGTACAGTGATCAGTAAAGCAAGCACAAACAGCTGGCTTAATATCTTATTTTTTCCAAGGCAAAGATCAACGTCTAAGAAAGCTATGAGCAGCTGCCTGGCTACTTGTTTGCTGTGAGCTGTCAATGACCACTTCTACCCATGCAGATGCGCTTGACTGACCCTCAGGTGACCTTTAGCTATGGATGTGAATTTACTTTAGAATCATTGAGCAGTAGCCTCACTGAGGAACTTTTCTGAAACCTTACTTTGCCTGGGAAGACTCACCCTTTTACATGTAGTGCCCAGATGTAGAAGATCACAGAAGGAGGAAGAGTATTCAAGCTCTTGGCCTTCCCTCTCACCCCAGAGTAATGTACCTGTTGCCACCAACTCCTTCGCTGATTTCATAAGCAGCCTTTCCGGACTCCCAGGGTGAACCCAGCTCTCCGGGAAGCTTCCAGGTCTTCAGCACCAGACTGAGACTGCTTGAGGCACCAAGCCTCGTGGACCAAGCAACTACTGGATTCTCTGGTCCTCAAGCACGGGACAACTGGTGTGGACCACTCTGAACAGATGGCATAAGCCGATACCTCTCAGTTCTGTTTCTCTAGAGAACTCTGACTAATACAGTGGGCCTTCTTCACATATTCTGCTCTCTCTCTCTACCCTGCTCTTTAAGTTTCCCTGTGACAGATGAGGCTTGGAGAGCATCTCATTCCTCCATCACTTTATAGATTCAAGAACTAAGGCCCAGACAAATGGGTTGTTCATAGTCACAGAGAGAACAAGTACTCTGTATGCCCTAAGTATCACCATGCAATTTGCTAACACTTTCAGGACTAGGAAAAAACTCAAGTGACATTAGTGCTTATATATAGTAATTAATATACTGGTGGATAAATCTAAATGTTCCCGCTTCTGGTTTTGTTTTGTTTTGTTTTGTTTTTTGTTTTTGTTTTTGAGACAGGGTTTCTCTGTGTAGCCTTGGCTATCCTGGACTTGCTCTGTAGACCAGGCTGCCCTTGAACTCACAGAGAAACCACATGCCTTTGCCTCCCCGGGTGCTGGGATTCCAAGCCCGAGCTACCTCACCGGCTGGTTCTGTTACCATTAAGTAGGATACACCTGTCTTGTTGGCTCAAGAAGACTACATCTCAATTATGAAGATTCTAGGGGCCTTGCTAGAAGCCAAGATGACATATTTCCCTGTGTGGTCAGAATCATTGTTGAATCCTGCCATCAATGGAAATGGCAGTGATTTGGCTCTGTGTGTGAAGTCTGAGAAATAAGAACACACCAATAGACTGCCAGCACAGGACAGCAGGCTATGGCTGCAGGCTCCCAGCTGACTGCAGACAGACAGCCATCGCACATCTCCCACCTGACCCATGATCACCTGTGCACAGGAGGCTCCTACCCTCGAGTGATCCCTGGGCAGTTATCATGCATCCCCCACGGTGTCTGGCCACACACAGAGGGCGCTCACCTGTGTGATCATCGGAAATCCCATAATGAAGAAACAGATGCAGCAGCCCAGGGTGAACACAGGCTTGTGTGTGCGCAGGTACTTGGGGAACTCATCCGAGATGGAGGTCACGATGGTCTCAATGGTGGCAAACTGAAACAGTACCAGGAACAAAGCATTCAAGCTCAGCTGTCCCCCCTCATAACCACCCTCCAAAGTCCTTTGTGTGTGTCGCTAGAGAAGGCTGTGCTTGGGTTAGGGCTGGGTTTTATGGTGCCATTCCTTTGATGGGTCTAAATGACCTTACTGGATGCCAACACACAAAGTCAGGAGAACTCCAGCAATGCATGAGCTTCAGAAGTTTTACCTCCAGCCCCTGGAGAAGGCACTACAATCATCCACCAGGACATTTTAGCTTCGTTTTGTATTCATGAGATGCAAATTCCTCTCCTCTAGTTATCCACCATTTGATCTCCTACTTGAGGAAGAGCCCTCTTTGCACCCAGTGACTAAACTCTGAGCACCTGTCAGCATGATTTGTAGTAGGTTCAGCCTCGAAGCAATTTTCCTAAAATTGACTTCATATTATCATCCCTTTTGCTGCCCTACAAAATTCACTTTGGCGAAATGATGCCAAGGAGGGGATGGTGCAGGCTAAACTTGGCACAGAGATCAAAGAGAGGGAATGGAGGAGAGAGGAATGCTCCTCCACACCATGATCACCACATGATCACCAAACATGTGAGGTTAAGTTGGGTGTGGTGGCACACATGTGTAATTCAGGAGGCTGACGAAATGGGCTAAGGAGTTCAAGGCTAGCTTAGGCTACATATTAAGATCTTGTCTTAAACACACACACACACAAAGTTACCATGACTCTAGACAAATGCCCCGCCATCCTGACATTACTCAAGAAAAGCCTCAATGTGAGCCTAAGTCTTTCCTGCAGGCTGGACCTGGGATCATGGAAAGTGGAGTCTTTAAAGGGGGAGGGGCAGAGGTGGGAGGGACAGGGACTCACCATAGTGTCAAGTCCAAGAGTGAGAAGCATCAGGAAAAAGATGATGGCCCAGAATGGAGAGAGAGGCAGCCTGGTTAAGGCTTCTGGGTAAACCACAAATGCAATGCCTGGCCCTAGAAAAAACAAGAGAGATAGTGACAGAGAAGCCCAGCTCAAAGCCCCTCTCTCAGAGCCCACAAACCTTCACTCCACTGAGATCCTGAACTATTACATGTCTGAGATTCTTTTCACTGTCTCTTATTTGTGCCCATCTCTGCTAATTAGACCATGCTGCCTCCCATGCAAATATTAAGAAACTGCATCCTTTTATTTGAACTGGAGGCAAAGATAATTGTTACCCTCTAGTAGAATTGCTGACAATTGAGCCCTGAGGGGTACCTGGCAGTGTCTGAAGACAGCTTTGTTTCTCACAACTGGGATGAAATGGGATAATTTGGAGATCAGTTTTTTCAACGTGACAGGATCTAAAGTCACCTAGGGACCAATCCTCTGAGCATGTCTGTGAGACAGTCTCTATGTTGGGCCAACTGGCATGAGTGGCACTATCCATGAGCTGGGGTCCCAGGCTAAATAAGGAGGAGAAAGTGAGATGAGCATAAGCCTCTCTCTCTCTCTCTCTCTCTCTCTCTCTCTCTCTCTCTCTCTCCTCTGCTTCTTGACTGCAGAGGCAAAGTGACCAGATGCAGCAAGTAGCTGTCATCATACCTTCCCCACCATGAGGAATGCATCCCCTCAAACCATGAACCAGAAAAACCCTCCCTCCTTTAAGTTGCATTTGTTAAGTGTTATTTTGTCATAGTGAGGAGGAAGATAACTCATACAGAAAACTACTGAAATTAGAGAGAGAGCAGAGCCCTTGGGCAATGGCTTTCTAAGAGTACCACAGGCTGTCGGAAAGGGGATGCGGACTGAGCTTGAGTTTTCTTAGCACACAGGTGCCCAGTGTCCAGAAGAGGGCATCAGCTCCCCTGGGGCTGGGTAACAGACAGTTGTGAGCTGCAGGACATAAGCACTGGGAATTGAACTCTGGTCCTCTGAAAGAACAAGTGTTCTTAACTGCTGAGCCATTTCTCCAGGCTGCATAACAGTACTTTTTTAAATTGGAATTTATTGGGTTGTTGGTTCCTAATGTTCCATTAGGCCTCCGGGTGTTTAAAATATAAAATTGTGAAGGCCTAAGATACCCCGTGTCCTATACATTTATTGAACAGACTGAAGAGCCAGCTTTCTACAGGCTCCTAATGTGAACCATAAAAGAAAAGTCTATATTAAACTACAGTTGAGACCTCAAACACAGCCCTAGAAAGCCAGCCAGGGAAGCTGACACAAAATCCCTGAGAGGGTTGCCATCACGTAACTTAACTGTGATGTTTGACCTCCATCTATCCTTTGGGTGTTACTGCTTTGAAGGGAGGTCAATAACCTTGGCTCTCCTCTGTGTCTACGCAGAACCACGGGGAGCCACAATGAAGGAGAGCTGCCAGACAAGCCCCCACCTTCTGGAGGGCCTGGGCTCATGGTCATGCCTCAGAGACACTGAAGGAACCTCCCTGAGGAAGAAGTGGTCACTGCAAGCAATCAGCCTAAGTATGAAGCTACCTCTGAGTGACAATCCTAGCACAGTGGCCAGTGTTTGGATCAGCAGCTGTCCTGCACATGGATGGCTGATACTGCTCAGCGAGGCTGGAGGGAAGCTGACCCCAATCATCAGACCTGCACACATCCTGCAGAGCCTCCTTGGGGTAAGGGGAGACATACTTAGGAAGAACAGATAAAAATGTGTGTGAGCTGCACCTCTAAAGGCTCAGCAACATGACTGCCTAAACACGAGCTGAACGAGGGACAACAACAGACATTCCAAAGAAGACAGGGGAGAGATCATGAGGCTCCAACCAGAATAAAAAAAGAAAAACTACAAGCAACTGAGGAATGCTGAGAGCAGGAGAAATAGTCTTCCCCAGGAAAGAGCACATCAACTGGTTATCCAATACCAAATGGTCTTTCTTCCCTGGAAACATACATACAAGTAACATTATGCAGACCGAACAGGTTACGTATGTACATGTGTAAACATGAACATATCTGCAAGCAAAAGCAATTACTAAAAAGAGACCATAAATTTGAAAGAGGTATATGGAAAGGGGGGGGGCGGGAATTGTGTAATTATGTTATAATCTCAAAAATAAAAAGCAATTAAAAATATATAATAAAAAATGTTTAAAAGATTACATGTGAGCCTCACGAGGGGTTTGGGACCAGGTCTCAGTACTCATTGATACCCTGCTGGGGAATGAGCCCCACCATCCCCTGGCCTGAGTTAGGTGAGATCGTCTTCCTGTGAAAGGGACAGCGGAGTGAACAGCTGCAGGAAAGGGAATTTCAGAGGGGCATGCTGGAAATTTCTGCTGCTTTGCACGTGGAAGATATGCAAATTTCCATCCGGGTGTTAATGAGACCTCCTTCACCCTGCTGGGACAGGAGACAGCTCAGGGCAGCTAGCCTAAGTGGCCTGTGTGTCTCCAGTTGTCAGTTCATATACTGATTTTCAACAAGATAGTTTTTTGTTTTATTTTTTTAAGTGAAACGTCTCAGATAGTCTAGAAAGTAGGGCAGAAACTATTGGCCTCGATGACTCTGCTGCAAGAAATTGAGGTTACAGAACAGCTGGGGGTGGCTCTGTGCCTGAGGAAAAGAAGGCCTTCTCGGCATCTCCTGCCTCACAGCAATTTGGAGAATTCTCAATCAGGAGAAAGCACTGCACAGCTCACTGATACGAACAATGTCACCCCTGGGGGCTCTCACTGTCTCCGGGGAGAGTTAATGACACCCCTAAGACATGCTGGAACCGTCACTCTTTGAGGCTCTGCGGGCACAAACGGAAGCAGTGATCAACTATACCTGGTGAGCAGGAAGAGACTGGGACAGCCCTCCCAAGAGGTGACCATGGCTCTCCTCTGTGTCTGCTCAGAACCACAGGGAGCCACTGCAAGAGAGCTGCCAGGCAAGCCCCCACCTTCTGGAGGGTCTGGGGCTCATGGTCATGCCTCATAGAGACACTGAAGTCTCTGTGCTGGTCAGAATCTGACCAGAATCATCAGCAATCTCCGAAATGAAGGCCCCCAGTGGCCACAGACTTTCAAGACCCTAATCCTCTGTAGAACCAGGTGGAGTAGAAATAAAGTTAATAAAAATCTTAAATGTTCCTTCTGCAAATGCTGCCCTGGAACTACAAGTTAAATGTGCTGAAATGAAAGCTCCTTACAAACTCAAAAGCACTATGCAAATGTTAGCATTGTTTGGGTGCAGTGTAAACATTTATTCCGGCTCCCCCACCATCACCACCACCCAGCTTTCCACTCACTCTGGAGAAGACTGCAGGTCTGCAATGCTATCTAAGCAGAGAGCCTTAAGAACAGACTTGACCTAACAATTAGGAAAGTGCTTCGTAAGGACAAGCGTCCCTGAAGTCTGAGCTCATTAAGTGTCAGCACTCGGTTTCTACAGCACTATGGTCGGCCGAGGACACCAGTGCAGCAATGGGCTGCCTAATGAATCGCCTGCTTGTGTCTAACAGTTATCCCAGACACAGCCCTAACCAACACAGGCTGGGGCAGGTTTAGAGAGCAAGGAACACAAAAGAAAAACAAAAAAACAGAAGAGGAAGAAACAGACCAAAAACAACCCCTGGCTTATGAAGGCCAGCTCTAAGTCTGAAGAGCTTCCCACTGGAGCATGTCTTGGTCACTCTATCAAGTGACCAGTACACACTTGAGCACCCCATTTCCATCCATCCCAGTTCCTGGCAAGTGTAAATCAGGAGTTCGTGAGGCGGGCCAGGAGCCTGTTCTGAAACAGCAGGTGACAGTTGCCCTGTACCTTGGTCAGCCACATTCTCAATGTTGACTTTGCGTTCGTTGGCCATGAAGCCGATGACAGAGAAGATGACGAACCCAGCAAAGATGCTAGTGGCACTGTTGGTGCAGGTTACAATTAACGTGTCCCTGGAAGGAAGAGATCAGAGCTTGACATTAGGTGAACTCTGTGAGTGGGAGAGGACAGAGAAGGACAAATGTGAGCCATGTGTATCCATGTGCATGTGTGTCCACCTGTGGAGACATAGTCTGCATACATATATACAGCCAAAGAAAGAAGCAAGCAGTTCTGAGCACAGATGCCCTTCTGGCAACCCAAAACACCCCAAAAGACTCAAATGCCACTTCTCTAAGCCAGTATAATTTCTAACTGTATTCTAAATACTCATCCTTGTTTCCACAGATAAATGTGTAGCCCTCACCTCTCCTCAAAGACTGTTCTGTTTTCAACAGAGGAGCCCAGTGGAGAAAACCACAAATGGTCAAGATGCAGAGAACAACTGTGAAGTGTCGGTCTCCAGTTTCCCAGCTGATACATCTACAACATAATCTCTAGACCCAAGATTCAGAGACCATCACAGAAGAAGGAGGAGAAAGACTGTCACAGCCAGGATGTCTGCTATGAGATAATCTCTTCTAGCAACAAAAAGACACAAAGTGGAGGGAGGTTGGAAGGAGCAGGTGGGCTTGAGAGGAGGGGGTGAACGGGATCAAAATACATTGTATAACATTCTCATAAAATTAAGAAAATATTATACATTATATAACAGCCCCACCCAAGACCCCTGTGGGGAAGCTCTAGTTTCTTATGCTTGGAACAGGGGCATAGCTAAATCACAAGGGCTAAATGCTAATGTCACCCTAAAATTAGTATGCTGAAGCTCAGTCCTCAGTGTGGTCAGGTCACAAGGCAGGGCCTTGGAAGAATGGTTCACCCCATGAATAGGACGCCTTTGTGAGAGAGGCTGTGAGAGGCGTGCTGCCCTTCCACTGGTGTGTGAAGCTCGGAGGGAGATTCTTCCAGCACCTTGGCCTTGGAGTCCCAAACTCTACAAATATGAGCAATAATTTCCCATTGTTTATAAATTAACAAGCATAAAGTATTTTTGTAATGATTGCTCGAAATGACTAGATCATGATAGGAGATAATCCAGCCATCACAGTAAAAAAGGAGGTAATGGGATCTTGGAGATCTCTGAGACAGGAACCCAGTATGCAGTGGGACACTGAAATGACATCAGGATTATGAGGGCAGGCTGGGGCTAGGGGGTCACAGGGCTAAGAAGGGCAAGAGAAACAATAGGAAAACAATAGAAACAGGCATCACTGCCTCCATTCTAGAGCAGTGGTTCTCAATCTGTGGGTCATGACCCCTTTGACAAAAAAACTGCATCTCCAAAAATATTTACATTATGATTCATAACAGTAGCAAAAGTACAGTTAATAAGTAGCAACTAAAGCAATTTTATGGTTGGAGGTCACCACAAGTGAGGAACTGTATTAAAGGATCACAGCAATAGGAAGGTTGAGAATCACTGCTCTAGAGCCTTCTGCTGGTGACATGGCCAGGGGTTCTCAGCCTGCCCCAGACTCAAATGTGAGGTCACAGACAGATGGAGCATTGGGCCTGTCTTGAAATCTTAGTCTTCCTCTTCCTCTTCCTCTCGCTCCTCCTCCTCTCTCTCTCTTTCTGTCTCTATGTGTGTCCCTCTCTGTCTCTGTCTGTCTCTCTGTTGTGGCAACCACTTGCAATTTTGAGTGAAAGCATATTTCCCATGGTAGCTCCTATGACCCAATTACTCATCCAAGGGTGGCCCTATGATCGCCATACCTGGCTGCTAGTAAGCTTGGTGCAGAACTTAAAATGACCCTGAGCAGCTCACCCTCACCCCCTTCCGCTCTGACTACAGTGGTAACAATGACTTCACCTCTCTCTTTCAGGGGCTGTGACCACAGTACAAGGTGCTGTCTGCAGTTCCCTCTGCCTGGTGCAACGCAAGGGTGAAGAAACATCTGCCCTGCAAACCCCTGCGCTCCCTAAAGAGCAAACTGAACCAAGGGAGGGCTGTGGACTAGTTGGTAGTGGAAGAGAATTTGAGTCAACTCTCTCCCTCTCTGTCTAGGTCCTTGCTGCAGTGCCACGGAGCCCGTGTCCTTTGAGGCACACGCAATGCTTTACCCTCGATGGCGTCCAGATCAGTTGCTCGGCAGCTGTTGAGCAGTACGACCAAAACTGCTCAAATGCCTGAGTCTGGCACCTTCCTTCCAGGCATTATGGGCTGAATTGTGCACCCTGAGTCTGGCACCTGTCCTTC